CATATAAAAATATTAAAATAAAATATTCGAAAGACTAATAATTTACAAACTTTAAAATTTAAATTGTTTTACTAAGATGTATGCTTAATTTAAAAAAATGTTCAAATGTTCTACTGTCTATACTTAGCTATTATGACAGCATCAAAATGATATTGTTTCATATTCAATTTGACATAATTTATTCTTTTAAACCACTTATGAAGATCAACAAATGCAAGTACAATTTATTCTTTAAGTAACCTTATAAGTCAAACTCTCCATAAAAAATGTTATTACTAACTATTAACTGCTTAAATGTCTAAATTACAAAAGTAGATGGTCTCAAAAGTTTAGAAACAAGATTTGTAAGAGTGAACATTTCAAATAAAACAGGTACTTTACAAGAAAATTTTACATATTTAGTAATTTATCAATGTTTCAAATAATTTATCTTAATTTATGTAAAAAGGCCTTGTTCATTTATAAAAAAAAAGGTGCACCTACAAATAAAAGGCTAATTTTTATTTTTAACAAAGTTCACATTAATATGTTTTTCAAACTTTGAATATGCTTCAGTGTTTATATTTATAAAGTTGATACAAAGTTTTGAGCAAAGGAAAATAGTTTCTTTTTGCATAGGAGCTAATTCATTCCTTAAGCCTTTTATTATCTTCATACTAGAACTTCATCTGTAATTATATATGCAGCATTCATCTGAGTAGTTACGTACATTGCACAGAGTAATTTAGAATGAGTGCAAAAAACTTTTACAGATTGTCTGGAATGTCATTTTAAATTTGAAAATGTTATATAAACATAGATCCTATTCCAAATGCTTATGTAGTTAGAATAGTTAAAAACTTTTTGTTATTGTGGTAAAATTTTAAGACTATTGTAACCATATAAATATAGAGAACAAGATTTATACTTATATAATACTTTTTACTCAGAATGGCTTTACAAATGATCCATCAAATTCTTTTACAATCATTTTGTATCACCCTGTGCATGTACAGATATATATCTGCAACAATTTTTAACACACATTGATTATTAAACCTCTTATTATTTTATTGCAGATAGTGGACCATAAAAGTGAATTTGTTACAATATTGGTTTTTAAAGGCACAACGATGTATTATCGACCCAGTTCAAATGCTTTCCATGTACAACATTATATGAAGAATGATGTAAGTACTAATGAAGTACTTGCGCGTTGTGCATATGCAAGGTATTAATGCATTTATCTTTATTTTATGCAATATTTTATAAGAATATTTGTTTTATAATGCTTAAGTCAAATAGTTATGGTCTTTAAAATATAATATTGTTATCAAAATGAGGTAGAGATATGAATGACGCTTACTTATTTCATATTAAATCTATACCAAAGCACTTGCTTTCGATTTACTCATTTAGATAATTACGAATATCTTGCTTAATTGTTCACAATTGTTTGTAATAATTAAGTTATATTACAAAATTGTACTTTTAAATGATATTTATATGTCCTATTTGTATGATAATACTATATTATATAAAATGTCATGTTTTGTAAATTTTTCGATTATAACGTGTCTTTGTGACTACGCTTTCTTAAAGTGTTCATAGTTATGAGCACTTTATATTGCATACTGATTTTAAGAAACATTTACGAGCTCTAATACTCGTTAATCTTAATTGCAAGTGTTCAGAAAAGAACAAATATATATTAATTGAATAGAAAATTTTATATGCAAACCGTAATATTTAAGACATTAGGAAAAAAACTATTAAGAGAATTCATTCTCTAATTAACTTATGATGCATATGTGCAAATACTGTAGACATTTTTTGTATGTGAAGTTTACGAAAGCATTTACGAAATGCTGCTGCAATTTTTTTGCTGACGATAAATTCGATGTATCGATCTCATCGATTTGAATTCTATATTATATCAAGATTTTACCAATGTCTTTAATTTGTCTTCAGAATCTTTTTTTTTTTCATCGATGAAAATATAAATCTATAAGAACAACATAATATCATTATTTATTAAAACCCCGATATTCTCTATAATCGATAATTGCTTAGGTAACATTAATAGAACTTCAATTATAATTAAGCTAATAACTCTGTCCGTACGTAAGAAGATAGTGAACACAGGATCAGGTGTGTATATACATAAACACAGGTTGTATAATAAAATAAAGGAAACAGTGAAAAATTATAAAATACATGCAGAATTTATGAAGGCTTTTTTCAAAAGTTCCTTGCATTATTTATAAAAAAAAAAAATCGTGCTTACTTTAATGAGCACACCTTTATTTTGGTTCATCTTTGGTATACACAAACGCTTTATTCTAACAATAAAAATATTTTTTATACATATATATCCTATCAATTAAAAAAGAAAATGGCTGCCTCGAAAATTGTTTGATATTGATCGAATGAAGCATAATAAAAAGGACTTTATGTATCATTATGCGAATAATTTCCTGCAGTATATATTTGTTCTTTCATTTAAGGGGTTAATATTTCATATTATAAACATCTTCGTATACGTTGCTAATAAAAAAGAAATATTTGAAGTCGTCTTCAGTTTTATGTAGTGTTGTTATTATCAAAACAAGGACTAAAAATATTTCAAAAACTTTTAACCTTTTTGCAATTAAGTATTTCTGGATAACATTCGATAAAAATTTTAGTATGTTAGAAAGGATTTCCTTATGTAAAACAAGTTTTGCATAGGCGAAATAGAGAAAGATTTTCATTCTTTTGCGGTATGAAGAAACCTGTTGGAAATAGGATCCGTTGGTTCGTAGGTTCGAAGAAAATAGATAACTTACATAAGTGTAGTTATAAACCTGTTAAAACTTTTATAGGTCTTATTTATGAACATTATACTTCCTGAGAATTGTACAGATTTATTAAATATTGTAACAAGTCTTTGACCATTTAATTTAC